AAGAATTTTCGAAATAAATGCAATGTCACCTTACTTTTTGGACACAGTAGTATATTCTCAAATTAGATCATAACGTCGATCGAGCAGCAAAAATGAACGCTTCGATGTGTTAACTCTAGACACGTGGATGCGTGACGTTCTACGTTTCTCGCTCGTCTCACACATCAAGATATCCATGTTGGTGATACCGCAATTTATGGAATCAATTGACAACAATGTCATTTTTCGAAATACATAAAATGTCATGCATTTTCCCATAGAAAATGAACCGAAAATAAATAAATAAATAAACTTTGCTACAGAGATCTTTCATGTTACAATATTAAACATTTTCGCAACAATTATGTAATATATAAGTTTTATGTTTTGCAATGATATTATAGGTAATATTATAAAGAAGTGGTCTTTCGCACTATCCAGGAGGTGCCACTAATAGCGCGTTAGGTTTTTTAACGTGGACTTTCGCCTGTAGCTCTATTCTACCACATTTTATTTCTTTTAGGTTTTTAAATATGGATATTGGATAGACATCCATATTTAAAATATAGAATACCATACTCTGCCTTTTATAGGGAAAGAAGTAAAATGACAATATAGGTTGGCAGCTAAGTGTGGCTTATAGTGTTTTATAAGCGTTTTATAAAGTGTTTATAAGTGTTTTATAAAGTGTTTTAACTGTTTATAAAGTGAAATTACACAACATTTAACGCATTAGAAATTAGCACCTTACGCGCTAAGCCACGCCACTTAGCTGCCAACCTATACTTATTTTATACTATATAAGGTACACGCAAAACTTTAAATGCGTTTTTCTCGCGAATGCTTGAGAAGCGTCGTAATATTTTACGACAAATTAGTGGTAGGGTAGACCTACAATGTATATAAATTTCATCCGAATCGAAGGGGACAATGTCTGGTGCTCCCCTTGTTAGTAGGTTTTTTAGTTTGTTATACATTCTATTTTTCCTTGAGTATGTTTTTAATGTTTGCCGTATTTTAATTTTTACTTATTATATTTGACTTCATTTTTTTTATAGATATCTCTTTTTTAATTAGTTTATATTATCTGACAAATAATTATCAATTCTTCTCTATAATATACTGTAGTCAACTTGCTATTTATGTAGGTAAGATCTATTCATTTGTTTCCAGATTTGTTGCATNTATCTCATGCTAATATTTTCTTTGATTGGTTTTATGTAATAAATTATAAAATATATGTAAATTGATTTTCAACAAAAGCATCATTGCAGCAAATCCTGCAACAAATTGTTGCAACGCAACAGCAGTTGCAACAACAACTGTTGCAACTGCAACAGCAGCAGCAATTACTGGAACAACAGCAGCCTCAACAACAGCAGCATCAACAACTGCAGCACCAACAACAGCACCAGCAGCCTCAACAACAGCAGCAGCAGCACCAACAGCAGCAGCAGCAAAACAATCTGACGAGTTATTTTTTTAATATAACTATTAGTAACAGAATATAATATTAGGTGTGCAACTAAGTTTTCGCTGTTTTTTTTTGAAAATGCAACTTTATTGTGAAAAAATGGTTACAAATGAATCATTCAAAGTATTGCCCATCGGTAGCTACAACTTTTTCCCATTTTTCTGGCAGAACTCGAATACCGTTACGGTAAAAGTGTTTGTCTTTTGAGGCTATCCACAAATCAAGCCATTTTTTGATGTCATCATATCAGCGGAACTGCTGATCAGCCAGACCATGTGTTATCGAACGGAACAAGTAATAATCAGACGGCGCAATATCTGGGGAATATGGCGAATAGGGTAGGACTTTTCATTTGAGCGTTTCCACGTAGGTTTTAACGGGTTTGGGAACATGAGGCCGAGCGTTGTCATTCAGTAGAATTACTTTTCACCCAAGTTCTTTGCTTTTGAATCATTCCCAACGCATGCATTCGCTTGGAAATGGCTTGGCGGATAACTCCTAATGCTGAAGCAAGCTGTTCTTGCGTTTGGCATGGATCCTCATCGAGCAATGCCTCCAATTCAGCGTCTTCGAAGGTTTTTGGCCTTCCTTCACGCGGACGGTCGTCAACATCGAAATCACCGTCTTTGAAGCGACGGAACCAATCACGGCACGTTGTTTCACTTAAAGCAGCAGTGTAAAGGAGCAGTCTCCGTAAACTTTTTGGAGCTCTCGATGTGCTTCAGCCGCCGTTTTCTTCGAATAAAATAAGAAAATCAACACTTCCCGCAACTGACGATTATTTGGTACAAAATCAGACATTTTCACACAACCAAAAGTATATGACGCCAAAACAAAATTACTAACGTGTCAAAGCGGTTTGTTTACCATATGTCTAAGCTTGGCTCGTGACGTTTTGGATATGTTAAAATCGACCAGCACTTACTGCTGGAGCCATCTATTGACAAACAGCGGGAACTTAGTTGCGCATCTAATAATTGGAAATCATTTTTTATTAATAATTCTTGTTTTAGGAGGACACAGAAGAGGAGCTGACCGCAGCAAGGCCCGCTGTGTATCTCCAGCGAGGCGGCCGAGGCAGTGCCAGCGGGCCATATGGAAGAGGAGGTCGAAGCGCTCCAATTATTCAGTATTATATTAATTATTAATGAAATTAATATTAAATAATACTGAATAATTGGAGCTAAATATTATATCTTATATATATATATATATATATATATATATATTTGATAAACAATTTTTTATAGAAAAAATAACAGTATTGTCATTTTACTTCTTTCCCTATAAAAGGCAGAGTATGGTATTCTATATTTTAAATATGGATGTCTATCCAATATCCATATTTAAAAACCTAAAAGAAATAAAATGTGGTAGAATAGAGCTACAGGCGAAAGTCCACGTTAAAAAACCTAACGCGCTATTAGTGGCACCTCCTGGATAGTGCGAAAGACCACTTCTTTATAATATTACCTATAATATCATTGCAAAACATAAAACTTATATATTACATAATTGTTGCGAAAATGTTTAATATTGTAACATGAAAGATCTCTGTAGCAAAGTTTATTTATTTATTTATTTTCGGTTCATTTTCTATGGGAAAATGCATGACATTTTATGTATTTCGAAAAATGACATTGTTGTCAATTGATTCCATAAATTGCGGTATCACCAACATGGATATCTTGATGTGTGAGACGAGCGAGAAACGTAGAACGTCACGCATCCACGTGTCTAGAGTTAACACATCGAAGCGTTCATTTTTGCTGCTCGATCGACGTTATGATCTAATTTGAGAATATATATTGGACAATTTGTGTAAAGAATGAAATTGAAAGCCTATATTAAATATCATACCATTAAACCTCAAGCCTTTTTATTGAACTTATGTCTCACAAAGCTTTACACACAATTTTTATGTAAAAGACGTAATATTTATATATTTATACTTATTTTCGAGATTTACAATCTTGAAAAAAGTACGTAATATTATTGATGTTAGTAAAACATCTCAAGATGCATTATACTTTTTTAGGAATTATTACATATGAGTTAATGGAAAGGATTCAAAAGTTTTTTGAATATTGAAAGTTATTAGTGTTCTTTTTTTATATATATTTTTGTTTTGTAAATTATCACAAGAATCTACATTTTTCAGACATATAATCTCAAAATATTTACTTCATAGTATACTAAAGTAAATTAATTACTATATTATGTTCATATGATATGAATTAAATACTTTATGATTGTGTATCTGTAAAATGTAGAATCTTTTCGTGATTTACAAATTAAAAATATAGAAAAATTAGTAATACTAATAATATAGTTTATATATATATATATATATATATATATAAAATGTTTTATAATGTTTTTCAATAATCTAAAAAAATAATCTAAAAACTAAAATTATCGCAGTTAACTTTTAATAAGAATTAATAAAAATGTAATAACAAATGCATCTTGAGATGTTTAACTCATCCTTATCAATAATATTATCTATTTTTTCTAAGATTGTAAGTCATGGAAAAGCAGTTTTCGTTGTCATATTGTCATAGGCTACAAGCGCGTAACGAAACATTGCTTTCTAGCCTCAGTGTCTTGCTCGCGTAGCGGGCTTGGTGGAAGCGAGGCAGAACATAGTATGTCTGCGCTCTTTCAGAAGCCGAACAGCCGAGCGTGACGTCACGCACACAGACGGCGGTTCTCGCTGTGTGCGTGCCTCCACCACCTCGGTGCTCTTGGTGCTAGTCTGCAAGATCTTACATCACTGTCCTTAATCCTGGGACCGCACGTAGTGTTGCAGTCCAGATGCCTGATTGGACAGAACAAGCAGCGCCACGTCGACTAAGGGCTGATTGGTCCGGATCAGCCAGTGAGCAAAGCAAGGAATCGGCACGCACAAATTTTATGTTCCCGGATACGCCATCTTGCTTTTTTCTAAAGTGCAGGTGCAAAACTTTTGTTTGTTAAAACTTTTTTAATCGAGTTTAACAATTATCAAAAGCTTTTCTAAGTATAGTAGTGTTATGTTTTTTGGACACAGTGTAACATACTAGTGTTAAGACTACGAAAATGACCAGTGAGAAGGTCGACGTAGTCATGTTAGAGACGGATTTCTTTCTAGGAAAAAACATAACCCTTACTCCTTCTAGCCAGGCTCCCGTGCTTGCTGCAGTGTCATGTGGTGATCGCGGAACGCGCAGCGTGTCTCTGGTAAGTGTCCCTTCATGCTCCTTCACTTCCACGGAGTCTGTGGGGGAAAAATTCTCGAGGAAAAGGGATGGCGTAGGTCTAATCACCCTCCCCCCCCCCAAGCGCACGTTTTCAGCGCTGTCTAGTATGCAGAGACAGCTGCTGCTCAACAGATATTACACGGACTCCAAGGGCCCGTTTAGAGTACACATCAAAACGTGTCGTTCACAACCTCCCCTCTACGGGAGATACAGGCCCTGACAAAAAACTGTAAGAAATCCGCTGCGCGGCGCCACGTTACGACTAACGGAATATCACGCGGTGCGTCGAAAAGAACTCACGTGGGCTATCACGCAGTAGACACGGGAAAGTACCGGCGAAAAACGGATCCTGCCCGAAAGGGCACGNAAAACGGACACACTCGAAATCGGAATCGCGTGCGAGAAACACGTAGCGAGCGGCAGAATTAATTTAAGTCCGAGTCGAAAAGTCGATGAAACGCCAGTGTAATCTTATTGATCATGTGGAAATAAAGAAATATATAATCCAGCGTATTACCATTGGTGTGTCGTATCAAATTATTCAAGTTATATCAGTCGTTGTCGAAATTAGCCGAGTCGTTTCGAACCTTCAGTTATTTGTCGAGCTGCTGGTTGTTGCCGAGTCGATCAAGAGTCAAAGCGCCCTTGGCTTTGATATCGATATCCTTGTTTTGTATCTCTTATCGGTCGCTATTATACACTGGAAGTGCCGGTATACGAACACGGAAAACAAGAGTGACTTGCAGGTGATAGAACAGTCGACCTGTGCGCTATTTAGAAGACAAAAAACACATTCAACGAGTCGATGGCCGTCGTCGTTACGATTAAGTGAAAAGAAAGACAACATTAAAGAGAAAAAAATCAATGCCTAATTTCTTACAGAACATAGTACAGGTAAAAAAGGAAACCTCGCTTAGCGCCATCGGCCTAGGCAAGAGACTTAACCGTTTTCTTCTTAATCAGTGTGTGCATGCGTTTGACTTACGTGTCATTGGCAGAAACAAATTCTCGGTCTGCTTCCTCACAGGTAGAGACGCCAACTGTTTTGTCGAGACTTTCCGGGAAGTCACAGATAGAATAACTTCCAGTGAGCAGTGGACAGCTCATGTCCCATCGTTCAGGGTGGTTAAACAGTTTGTGTTAAAAGGTGTTGATGAGGAAGAAACTGTTGAGGAACTGTTGGCTGGTCTTCGCCCCCCTCCGGGGTGGGATCAGGAATGGGTCCCTTCTTTTGAGGCAGTTAGAATCACACGTAGGGAAAAAGGAAACGCCACCTCCATCCCTAGGTATTGTATATTAATATTAATCAACTCATCCTACGATTTCGCACCCCTGTGGTTCCGCCGTCTTGCCTGTATGTAGGAAAAAGACTCCCGTTAACACCTTACGTATATAAGGTTAGACGTTGTAAGTTTTGTCAGAGGTTCGGACACTGTTCATCCATGTAAACAGTCCGGGGACGACAGACGCAGGTTTTGCGAAAAGTGTGGCAAGTCTGGTCACTCTAAACCAAATTGCCTTAATGTCTTTGATGAGTGCATAAACTGCATCCGCTTTAAGATTGGAAATACCAACCACCAATCGTCAGAACTCCGTTGCCCTGTTTTCCAGAAGTAACAAGAGATACATAAAATAATGGCTTACAGAGATCTCTCCTTTCGTGATGCGGCAAGTTTGTATGACGAGGGGAACACCTTTTCAGGACTAGAGTCCAACTTGTCCAATATCTCAGTTCCCCTCCCCACGCTAGGGGAGTTCTTTCCCAAAAGTGATGTCTTTAGGTTCTCCAGAAGAA